GATGGTTTGCTTTGGTATTCTGTGCTTGCAAGAGGCAAGTTCATATGAGGAAACTGAAGGCGGGAGTGATGACGATTGACATATATGGAGTATATATGGTTTTCAATTTAAACAAAGAATTCGAAAGGTTTGTTTGTAGAATGACACATGGAAGTGTAGAGTAGTTAATCGAATCATTAAGCGTGCAAATTAAAAACCGTCGTGTTTTTTAAAACTGTTTAATTGCATTTACGAGATGTGTTAATAGTTGGTCCAATCATATATCAACAGGTGGTAATGAACCAGGCTAAATCCAGAAGACAGACTTGACATTCTTTGTCGTTTATTTAAGATCAAAGCTTGATGCACTTATTAAAGAATTGAAAGACAATGAATTATTCGGCAAACTTCAAGTAGGTATGTTCAATTTGTGATAACAGTGTCAACAAATTTTTTCAACTTCGGTTATATCTTTATTAATTTAAATTGTCACTTTTTTGCAGTTTTTATACAATTGAATTTCAAAAGCGTGGGTTGCCTCACAGTCATATGTGTCTATTTATACACTCTGATTTCAATTTACCTACCGCTGAAAAAATTCATTCTATTATCTCAGCTGAGATCCTAGACAAAAACAAAGATCCAGATTTGTACTCACTTGTAAAAGAGTTCATGATTCATGGACCGTGTGGTGAAGAGAACATTAATTGTCCTTGCAAGATTGATAGAAAGTGTTCAAAAAAGTACCCAAAGAAATTTTCTAAACACACTTCCATTGATGTTAATGGTTATCCTTTATACCGCAGACGAGATGATGGACGTTTTATTGAGAAATCAGATGTTAAACTAGATAACAGAAATGTCGTTCCATATAACAAACATCTGTTGAAAAGATATCAAGCACACATTAATGTTGAGTGGTGCAATCAGGCTTCTTCAATCAAATATTTGTTCCAATATATCAACAAAGGTCCAGATAGAGCTACTGTTGCCATTGTAGAAAACAGTAATGATGAGGTTACTATTAATGTTGTTGATGAGATAAAGAAATATTATGATTATAGATATGTTTCTGCATGTGAAGCTTCATGGCGTATTTTTGGGTACGATGTTCATTACAGGACTCCTTCTGTTTTAAGACTTCCTTTCCATCTTCTGGGACAACAAGTGGTATTTGGTGCTGAAGATGATATTGAAAATGTCATAAACAGGCCATCTGTGGCGTCCTCAATGTTCTTAGCTTGGATGAATTGTAATCAAATTCATCAAGAAGCACGAGAACTCACTTACGTTGAATTCCCTATAAAGTTTGTGTGGAAATTGGAAGAGCGACATTGGGATCGAAGAAAAAAAAGCTTCTCAATTGGACGGATTCATTCAGTTTCTCCTACTTTAGGAGAAGCATATTATTAAAGAATTCTTTTGAATAAAGTGAAAGGTCCTAAATCATTCGTACAGTAAATGGAAATATATTTCCTACTTTTAGAGATGCATGTTATGCTCTTGGGCTTTTAGATGATGACAAATAATATATTGATGTCCTTGAAGAAACAAATTTAACTGCATCTGGTTTTTTTCTATGCTTCTTATTTGCAACCATGTTGATTTCAAACAGTCTATCTAGACCTGAGTTTGTTTGGCAAAAAACATGGCAATACTTAGCATATGGCATTCTCTATAATCAACGAATTGCTTTAAAGTCTCCAGGTATGTTAATTATATATTATAAGTATAGATTTATACAACTATTATCTAAATACTAAAGAATTTATTGTTTTTCTATTTGTTAACTATTATGTTATTTCTTAAATTGTATTTAAGTTTAATTCTATGTATTAGTTGTTTACATCTATATTATATTTTTTACATATTTATCCCTCAATGAAGAACAAGTGAAGAACCTGACATTGTTTGAAATTGAAAAGATTTTACTCCCTAACAATTCCACCCTGAGAAAATTCACCACTCTGCCTTATCCTGATAATGATTGTCCTGAATTTTCAAACAACCGTTTGATTACGGAAGAGCTAGATTATAACCATCATAATTTACGTGATGAGTTTCAGAAGCTTGTAATTGCTCTAACAAATGAGCAAAGAGGTGTTTATGACAAAATCATGATAGTTGTTGAAAAGAACAAATGTGGTATGTTTTTTGTTTATGGGCATGGCGGAACAGGCAAAACATTCCTATGGAAGACATTGGCTACATCAATAAGATTTACAGGAGAAATTGTTTTAAACGTCGCTTCCAATGGTATTGCTTCTTTACTTCTTACCGGTGGCAGGACGGCACACTCTCGTTTTCAAATCCCTCTAATTATCAATGAAGATTCTCTTTGTCACATAAATCCAGACCGTAATGTTGCGAAGTTAATAGAAAATACTACTTTAATAATATGGGATGAGGCACCAATGGTTCACAAGCATGCATTTGAAGCATTGGATAGAAGTATGAATGATATTTTCAATAGTCGACGCACTAGTGACTCGCAAATGCTTTTTGGTGGCAAGGTAATTGTTTTTGGAGGAGATTTCAGACAAATTATGCCGGTTATTCTCAACGCAAGTAGACAAGACATTGTTAATGCGTCGTTAAGTTCATCTTACATTTGGGAAAAATGCAAAGTTCTAAAGTTAACTAAGGACATGAGGCTAACTGTAAACAGTGAATGTTCTGAAATTGAACAAACAAGGGTTTTTGCAAACTGCATTTTGGACTTAGGAGAAGGCAAAGTTGGAGGTGATAATGATGGTGAGGCGGTTATTGATATACCTCATGATCTTTTTATTACCGATTCAATGGATCCTATATCTGCAAAAATACAATTTGTCTATCCCTCAATTCTTGAAAACATCAACAATTCATCTTATTTTTAAGAAATGGCAATACTTGTACCAAAACATAAAATCGTTCAAGAAATAAATGACTGTTTGCTATCATTGTTCCCAGGAGACGAAAAGGAGTACTTAAGCTCAGATACGCTATGTGAATCAGAGCAACTTCACGATCAGTTTGATAAAACTTTGTACTCTCCTGATGTCTTAAATGGTCTTAAATTATCAAGTATACCAAACCATAAGATATTACTAGAAGTTGGTGTTGCTATCATGTTACTGAGGAATATTGATTAGAAATCTGGATTATGTAATGGAACTAGACTACAGGTGTTATCATTGGGAAATTGAGTGATAGAAGCACAGATTATATCTGGAAGCAATATTGGAAGCCGTATTCATTCCAAGAATGTCTTTGACACGATTCCATTCAAATTTCGAAAGAGACAATTTCCAGTTGGTGTATGTTTTCCCATGACTATAAATAAAAGCCAAGGACAGTCATTATCAAAAGTTGGTTTATTTCTAAGACAACTGGTCTTCACTCATGGTCAGTTATATGTTGTTTTATCTAGAGTTAAAAGCAAGCAAAGTTTGAAAGTATTAATTATAGATGATGATGTATTATTGACAATAGAACAAAGAATGTTATATATAAAGAAGTATTTAGTAATCTATGATACATGGTTGTTATTCTATTAATATTTTAACTATTTATCTTTGCCAAATTTCTTCTACATTTTGTTATAAATTTTGTTTTACAAGCTCTTAGGGGGCGTTTGGTTCGCAGAATGTTTTTGGATGGAATGGAATCTGTCAAATGAATTTGACTTTGAAGGAATTTGAATGAAATGTTGTCAGGTCTGACCACTTGTTTGGTTGACAGACACTGGAATGGAATTTGTAAAGGAATTTGAATCTATTTGTTTGGTTTACAAAGGAATTGGAACAGAATAATGAAAAATGACATAAATACCTCTTTCTTTGTTATTTTTTTAATTATCAATAGTTATAAAATTAAATTTTAATTGGGTGAAATCAAAATTATGTATCAAATACTATTGGATAAAATCATATCGTCACTTTCAAATAATTGTAGAGAGTGCGATTCATAAATCATGGTGGGTGTGTGGATAAAATCACCATATAATATACAAAGCTCATCACTGTTACAAATCCAACGGGGATCCTCCTCGAATCATCTTCACTTCAAATACATAGTCTCAAATCATCTTCATTGTTTAGGAGTCCAGAGGAAGAAATCGTAAATCAGAAATCGATCAATGAAGGAATCATAGAGGAAGAAATCGATCGGTGAAGGAGTCTAGAGGAAGAAACCGATTGGTAAAGGAGTCAACGGCTAGTGTTTAACAGGGAAGAAATCGATCTATCGATGGAGTCCAGATTTCGATCATGACGGAGTTTAGTGGCTAGGGTTTTATCTTTTAGTGATGGCATTTTTGTCATTTTCAAAATACTGGTTGGAATGGATTTCAATTCCATCACTTTTGTGAAGAAATGATCAAATCCACACTTAAGGGAATGTTTGGAATTTAATTCCATTCCATGGGTAACCAAACGTCAAAATAGAATTTGGTCAACGGAATTGATCATTCCAATTCCATCAGATTCCGTCGGAATCCAACGAACCAAACGCCTCCTTAATATTTACTTATGTTATTATAGATTCTTTATAAAATACATACTGCTTTCATTTAATTCTTGTAAAATACCGTGTAATACACAGGTTCAAACCTAGTTACATAATAAATGAGTATTCAGCCAACATGGCACCGATTGATTTTTGATGTAAAATTTTGTCATATCACAGCAAAGATAGCTACAAAAACTACAGATTACATGTCAAAATGAAGTTAAAAGCAACCTCTTAATTTTGACATAAAAATCAACATTCACCTTTTTCTATTATATCCAAACTAAAATAAATAAACGAAGTCCATTTTAGTGACCGGATAGATCTCAAACACATATACCATATTCCATCTATACTTAACCAAGACTAGATATGCCTTGGTCATGGCCCATGTCTTTCTGTTTTCTTCTCAATTTGACAACTGAAATCCACAATGTCAAATTACCAACGAAAACAAACCCAATAAATACCATGCAAAGATAGGATCTGAGGATCGAATTAGAATTTGTCCTAACCAAAAAAACACAACTGGATTTTGAATCTTTTCCCATTCACCAAGTCAAAAATGGATCATTAATACCCAAAAATATCCCAATACAGATTCACCAAACTGGAAAGATTTCTATGCAAGTAAACTAACTTTTTGGTCATTGAACACTCTGCAATTTCCTCTGAACCACCAGGATTTGGTAATCTTTGGAAAGCCAGAAGATACAACTACAATCCAAACACTTTTGACTAATATAAAAAGATGAGAAAACAAACATATCCTTCCCAGAACTAAGAAAAGAAAATGGCAAGAAAAGGGTCAAGAAGACTCACTATAGACTAGTCTTGTGTAGTTGCATGATGCCAAATTGTGTGGTTGCAGCGCCATTGTGTTATACACAATTTCTCACCTGCATGAATCAAGTTCTAAGCACGCAGAGAATTTTTTTTTGCTTCTAGATACACAATTTGGACAAGTTTGGATGCTGGTTTTTTGCCCAGAAAGATAAACCCTCCAACTTAAATTAACCTACAAAATCATTTACAAGGGAAAAAAGTATGATGATATCAAGCCTTTATTGTCAAATTAGTTATGGTATCTACATAATGCAAAGAAATAAACATCTAAAATATTGCAAAGACTGACCTTAAAAATCCATTTAAAGGGTGTCATCTGCTGGAGGATCATTTGAAATCCGACCAGTGTTGTCTTTGGAATTAATGCATGAAGTGAGAGGTGGGAAAGAAGGAACTGCCTTCAATATGAATTTCCTGCCACTTTTCAGAGAGTTTGAACCAAGTTCATGCAATCGGATCCTAGGCGGAGAAATTCGCTTCTTATTTGGTGATGTCACTTTCACCTTATTGGGTTGGATAGAAGAGTCTTTTAGTATATTGGGTGTGTCATCATCATAGTTGTCGATGGATTTTTGTTGAGAGTCGGTCAATTTTGTCCCACCAAACAGAGTCACTGGGGTGACTGAGGAGCGACGGGGACAAAGAGAAGAAAAGCTCAGACCACCAGGAGGTAATAACTGAGCTCTGGAACTGTTTGACCAGTCACCCATTGAGGTGAGATGACCAGTGGCGGTACCACTGGTAGTACACCCAGGTGAGCATTCATCCATAAATTCAACGCTGGGATATAAATCTTGACCAAATGGAACCATTTCACTGTTCATGTTACTTGCTTCCATGATCATGTCAAAGCTAGCAGAATTTTTGGGAGATCTAGGGGTGCTCACATAAGAAGGGTAAAAAGTGCTTTCAGATTCTGGCGACGGAAGGTATCTTCCGGGTAAAACTCGAGCTTTTGATGCATCATTTCCATGGCTAAACATGAAAGTGTGAGCAAGTAAAATTTCATAATTAAAAATATGCCTTATGAAATCAACTAAAAGTTCTTGATTAACATCTTACTTTGAACATTGAAACGAAGGCGTCTGGGGAGTCAAATTGTGAGGTTTTTGGAATTCAGAAAGAGAGGATCTTGACCTAATGGAACCCACTTTCATCTTGTCGTCAAATGAACAATTTAGTTTCTCGTTAATGACTTCCATGCCCATTTCTCTAATCGTGCCGCTTACTGATATGCATGTCATAAGTTAGAGATTGATAGAAAATCAAAATAAAATTCACAAGTTTAAAACGAAATTAGTTTCAATTCAGAAGTTTCCAAGATAAACATGAAATTACAATCGAGTAAGATGAAATTACTGTAAATCATTCAACAAATACAAATGTTCCCTGAACGAAAGAGTATCCGGCTTAAAGTTTTCAAGGCAGTCAGTAAAATTCATTCTGTACAATTGTGTGGCCAACAATCAACAAGCTTTTAAATAAATTAGATTCATTCGTTTACTTTTACCAGCTCTTCTATATGAGATGACTAACCACAATGAACTACCAAAACAGAAAAGATAATGAATATCTATATGCTATAGACTAAAGTGGAGTCATATACAAGTTATACAGCACAATCAATATATAGCATATATAACATAAGCATACATGAGCTTAAAATCTATCATGCTATTTACCTTCAGTTAATGTGTCCAAACTAGTTGAAACCAATTCATAATTTATCAAAGTTGGTATTTTGAATATCTCTGATAACTCCTTTTTTGTCATATATAAATATTTGTTACCTCCTTTCTTGCCATAAATATTTTGACAGTCTTCACACCGACATCCATCGGAGCATCCAACATTAGCCTATTACACAATAAAACAGGATTGAAAGGAGACAAAAAAGGAGCATCTGACATGAACTGAACCATATTAACAAGTACACACCTGATAGCACTCACAGTACTTTTTCAGGCACATTGACTTCTTGCAGTTGCAACCCCTTTTGTGTCTTCCTGCAAGTGGTGTCAGTTGATCTCCATCCTCCTGTGGACAATAATAACTAATACTTATAATTGATCACTAAGAAAACGAAGTTGAGATTAAATATCAAAATTAATACCACAATCTGGCTTCTTGGAGGCTGTGTAAGACGATGAATGATCTTAGGAGCAAATGCAAGTGGATTTCGTGATTCTATTTGTTGCCGTGTCTCAAGAACTGTATCTTCATATTCAGGTCTGTTGAAACACCCTTGGCAAGAACAAGGCCCAGCACAATAGATTCCAGCAGCAAAGCAGTCACAATAACTGCAAGGAAACTGTTTTGTAACTCCTCAATTGCATACCAGATCTATAACGCCAAGCAGTAGATAGACTTACAGTTTCAAGCACTTGCTCTTCTTACAATTGCAGTGTTTGCAGTCATCATCAGTGCTCTCTGTCTTCTTTCTGAAACAATTAGACAAACACAACAGCATAATGTAACAATTAAACAACTACAACAAGCTTCTTACAGAAACTACTTAGAGAAGGTTAAAGATGTTTCAAGAAAAGAAAACAGATAATAAAATGGTGCAACACAAAAATAAATATATGCATGGTGTGCGTAGATGAACTCAAAACCATTAGTATACACCAGAAATGTAGTATCTGGAATGCAAAATTGGGTATGTCAGAGAGCATGAAGAAAGTACCTTTTCTTTTTGGGATTTGATCTGTCCAACTCATCAACTCTCCCAGTCTGTCCAGAGTTCAGGCTCCCTGGATCAAACTTGTCTTCATGTTCAATTATCTTCATGGACTTTGCATTATTGTAAGAAGGGCAAGACGGAGGAGTTTCGTGCGTATATTCTTCACTTGTAGCTGAAACGTTCTCCACTAAATTTGAATTGGATGAAAATGAAGTGCATTGCATGTTATTTTGCATATGAGAAGTAATAGATATCGACTTCTTCCGTCCAGCACTTGAATAGGTCACATCTGTTGGTTTAACGCTTACATTCAGGGGACAAGCCAAAGGCCTGGCATTAACAATGCTGTTCAAGTGCAAGCCAATACCTGAGGGCTTGGAAACAGTTAGACTAGCATTCCTAGTATTTTGAGACAAAGATAAGGGACATGTGGATTGGGTACTTCCAGTAGGTTGAATATTGTGAGAAGTTGAAGAAATATCAGCACAAGAAGACTCCAGAATTTCTGATTTGCCAGCAGTATTTGGATTTTCAGAACCAGGGTCATTTTCTACAATTTTTTCTTGAGCTGTTTCAAATTGAAGGCGTCTTCGCTTCCCAAGTTGACTTTGACCGACCTACAGTGAGTGTTGCAATCATGGTAATTCCGAAAGACAAGACGATAAGATCAAACGCAGAAAAAGTAGTATTAAAGAGATGGAGAAAGAAGCAATACATAAATGAACCATAGCTTTTGTGCTTTACTTGGGTCATTATTATGTACAAGAATAAGAGAACTCTAATAATACATCCTTCACTTATATGAACTTTGACAAACTCACCACCATTCACGTTATTTTCATCTGAATGATTGAATATCAGAAAGATTCTGATAAGGAATGGCCCACTAGCCCAAGCCAATTGTAGATGATCAGCCGAGGCCTTGGAACACTATAAATACTAATGGGTTAGCAATACGGAGGGCAGGCAAGACTTAAGTTTTCAATAGAGAGTATCGGTTGTGAAAGCTTGGGCAGGAGAAAAGGCCATTCATCAGCTTCCTTCTGATTTTGTCATTTCAATCTTTTGAATCCAATAATCAAATAATTTAATCCTTTATTTTAGTTTGTTGTATCGATTATTTTCTTCTCGTTTCTATCAATTTGGTTCCATTGCCGAGAAATAATGGTCGCTCTAGAGACTCAGGTGAATACCCGATTGCAATCAAGGATTGATGCTCAAGATGAGAAAATTGAAGCCCTAACTAACCAGGCGAACTATCTGTCCTCTTCTATTAATTCAATGACAGAGATCCTAAATGAGTTGCCCAAATCCATCGGGAAACTAACGATGAGTTACAAAAGTATCAAGGAGAACAACCGAACTATGAGAGGAAGATGATGGGACTCCATTCAAAATCCAACCCATGGACTGGATTTGTTATTCAGAGCTAAACATTTCAAAACTCCCTTATTTTCGACTCCCGAGATGAAACTCCCCATATTCGAAGGTTTTGATCCCAGGGGATGGATCACCAAAGCAGAACTCTATTTCCAGGTACATGAAGCCTCTTTCTTCTCAGAAATTGAATCTAACCCAAATGTGTATGGATGGATCTGCTCTAAACTGGTTCACAAATCTCTTGATTAAACATCCTCAACCCACTTGGGAACAATTTCATGAAAAATTGTTGGTTCCATTTGGAGGGACCAAATTCCATGACACACGAGGCACTGATATTGATGAGTACATTGAGAATTTTGGGGCTCTCTCGGCCCTCATTCCAGACCAATCAGAAGATCAAGCATTAGGGATGTTTCTTCGTTGTCTCCAAGATGATATTAGGAATTGGGTCAGGGCACTCCAACCACGAACGTGTGACCAGGCTATGAATTTGGCCCTCACGTAACCGTCGATGGGGATAAAACCAGTATCAAAGGTAAGACACCGTTCTATCTTGGAATGGGTAGTACGATCCAAAACCAAACCTAGAAATACAATCAAAAGGATAAGCCCAATCCTCCACAATCCTCCTATCACCTAACGAATCAGCCCAGTAGGGTTACTGGCCAAGCCCAACCAAAATCATATGAAACCGCAAAATCTAACGCCAACACCACTCAATCTACAGGAACTCAACATCTGACTAAACCAGAATGGGAGGCTAACGAGGATTGTGTTTCATTTGCGAGAAAAGGTACTCCCCTTAGCATAAGTGTACGGAAGGGCAACTACAAGTGATTTTATTGGCTGATAGTGACAAATTAGGTGAGGACGGTGAAGTTCGTTATATTGAGGAAAAAGGAAATGATGGTCCGGTCTTGGATGGGGAGTGTAATGCCCTTGAGTTTTATGGATTTGGATCAGATCTTTCTCCATCCTTGAAGACATTTAAACTAGCCGGGGAATTACAGGGTACCTGTTACAGATTTAGTTGGGCTGGGTCATGATGTGAATAAACCAAGTATTCTAAAAGTTTATTCTAGAAGGGCCAAAAGGACAGAAAAGGAAAGTGGCTAGAAGTCGGTTAGAGGAGAAGGTTTTACCTTTAAATAGGAGGGAGGTAAAACATATTTTGGGAGAGAATGTTTTTCCTAAGTTTCTAGTAGTGCGTTGAGAGAGGGAGGATTGCCTGGTTCATTTTTCTGTTATTTTAATTCCTTTCAATTTCAATCACATACAGCCAATTTATTCCATTGCTCCATTTTAGTCAATCTTAATTTGTTGATTTCCATCATTGGTCCGACCTGCCTTGACCTGTTGTGTGGAATCCATGGAAACTCGATCTCAATTGAACCAATTGGAGCAACATGAAGAACGGATTCAGAGGTTGCAATCAGATATCCAGGAAATTAAAGTGGGGATTCAAGCGTGGGAATCCAAGCAAGTGGAGGAAGCTGAACTTCATAAGATGCTTATGGCGTGGGTGAAACATCAGGGTATTCAACCCAACTGTGAATTTGGAGGACCGTTTGAGGCCTCCACCGGATTCCCAATTACACAGACTCCTTAGGGGGTTCATCACCACAACAAGGTGATAACTCGCACACTTCTACTCCACGATTCAGTTCTTCCAATTTGTTACCATAGGCGGTAAAGAAAGTCAAATTGCCTGAATTCTATGAGTTCGATCCCCAGGGATGGATTCAGAAAGCAGAATTATACTTTGACATTCATGGTAAACCATCTCACCTTCGAATTCGTTTTGTTCAATTAAGTATGGTGGGTGTAGCCCAACACTGGTTCACGATTGTGAAACATATTTACGATCCTCTTACATAGGAACAATTGTCTGTCGAACTACTCCCAACGATTTTCGGGCTTGGAGATTCATAATCCGTTCGAACAATTGGCTACGATGAAACAGGTATCTTCTATTCACAATTATATAGATGATTTTGAATATTTTGCTATCCTTGGTACCTTGATTACCTGAGACACAGACCCCGGGTTACTTTATTGCGAGTTTATGTGATGATGTGAAACGATGGGTACGTCTCCATCGACCTCAGTCTCGTCCTGATGCCATGTATCTCGCTAAGGATATCGAAGAGATGCTTTGCCCTTCTGCCGGTAATATTTCTCAATCCCAGTTTCGATACCAGGCCGAAGGTGGGTTAGGCTTCTCTTTCCAATCAGATTTCAAATCCAACCCTCTGGGTCGTTATGAGAACAAAGGGCCCAATAGTTCTCTTTCCAGTGAGAAGAGCCCACTTACACACACTGATATAGGTCGTATGCCCCCGAATCCGCGTACTGTCGGGGCTCCTTCATCGGACTATGGCCAATGTTCAATTGTAATCGAGGTATTCGGTCTCTTACTCGTACAGAATGGGAGGAGCAACGTAAGAAAGGGTTGTGTTTCCGTTGTGGGCAGCAATTCAGCCCTGCTCACAAATGCCCCCAAGGGAAATTGTGGATTCTTCTCTTGGGCGATGATGAATCGATAGATGGGAACGGTGAGCTTCAGACCGTAGAGACAATAGAGGAACCAGTCACTAAAGAGGAGGAAATTCCTCCAAATTGATTATGTATGGCCTTGGAATTTTTGGGTGCTGGCAAAACCTTAAAGTTTGAGGAGGCAGTACTGATTTTGGCGGACAGTAGAGCCACGCTAATTTTATCTCACGAAAATTGGTGACCGCTTTAGGGTTATCTTTATTAGTCAACATTATATGCATCTTAAAGTACAAGTGGAGACATGTGAATTCGAGGTGGAGGAATTGGTATTTGACATGGGGGATTTGGACATGGTTTTAGGCATGGAGTAGCTTAATACTTTGGGAGAGGTGATCCATAACTGGGAACAATCATCCATGAAATTTGTATTCCAAGGGAAGTCGGTGTGCATCCAAGGCCTATCTAAAGTACAAGTCTCTCAAGCTTCTCTTCAAATGTGGTTGTCACTAGACAATCCTTCTCAAAGCTGTCTTTCGAGTATTGCTTCGTCCGGCCAAAACGAACAGGAGGAGTTATCCTTCGCACAACAACAGGATTTACAATCCTTGTTTGACCGTTTTCCAGCAGTATTTCGGGATTGAACAGGATTACCCCCACGACATGCTCACGATCACAGAATTTCTTTGATCAATTCTCGTGAACCAATTTGTGTTCGGCCGTATAGATATCCCCACGTTCAAAAGGCTGAAATTGAGAAGCAAGTAGAGGAACTTTTGAATCTTGGTGTGATTCAACCAAGTAAAAGCACTTTTTCCAGCCCAATAATTTTGGTCAAAAAGAAAGATCAATCGTGGCGGATGTGTGTGGATTATCGTGCTCTCATCAAAGCCACGATACCTGATACGTTTCCTATTCTAGTAGCCGAGGAACTTATTGATGAATTGAAGGGCGCATTTTTTCTCTAAACTAGAGTCCAGTTATAATCAAATCAGAATGCAACCGGATACCATTGATAAGACAACGTTTCGCACCCATGACGGTCACTATGAGTATTTGGTGATGTCGTTTGGACTCACCAATGCACCAGCAACCTTTCAAGCTGTTATGAGTGATATTTTTCGGCCATTTCTATGTAAATATGTGGTGGTTTTCTTTGATGATATCCTTATTTATAGCCCGACTTGGTCAAAGCATATGGAAGATTTATCGATGGTGTTACACGTTTTACTTGAAAATTAATTTGTGGTGAATCGAAAAAAGTGTTCGTTTGGGCAATCATCGATTGATTACTTAGGTCATATTATAAGTGGCAAAGGAGTGCCAATGGATCCAAAAACATTGAGGTTGTTTTGGATTGGCCAGTTTTGAAACAACTAAAAGGGTTATGAGGATTTTTAGGTCTTATGGGATATTATCGAAAGTTTATTCGCCACTATGGCAGCATTGCAAAACCGCTCACTGATCTCACAAAGAAGGATGCCTTTTGTTGGAACTCGGAAGCTCATCAAGCCTTCGAAACACTTAAAGTTGCCATGGTTACGGCCCCACTATTGGCACTTCCTGATTTTACTCGACCATTTATAGTCGAACATGACGCGTCGGGTAAAGGAATAGAAGCAGTCTTAATGCAAGAACAGTGTCCCATCGCATACTTTAGCAAGGCTTTGAGTGAACGTAATTTATCCAAGTCGGCTTATGAAAGGTCCTTGGTTCTAGCGGTTCAACATTGATGGGCCTA